ACTTAAATGAACGGACCTAGCCTAACTGACCTAACATATAACATAATATAATTGACCTAACATAACACAATATAATTGACCTAACATAACATAATATAACTGACCTAACATAACATAATATAACTGACCTAACATAACATAATATAACTGACCTAACATAACATAATATAACTGACCTAACATAACATAATATAACTGACCTAACATAATATAACTGACCTAATTTAACTGACCTGACCTAACCTAACTGACCTGACCTAACCTACCCTAACTAACCCAATTGACCTAACCCAGCTGATGTGACTTAATTTAACCAAACTATGATATATGTGATCTAACCTAAGCAAACAAACTTCCCAAAACAAACTCAAGCTAACCTTGTCAACCTAAGCATAAATTAATTATCAACCTGACCACCAAATGACATCTTAAACTCAGTATTAAAAATAATAAACCTTCCATGAAATATGGCAAATATAATTTTAAACTGCAGTCATATCGAACTAAACAAAAGGATGATAGAAATGCTGCAGCAACGACATCTACTGATCCGTTTAATCGTTAGTGTACAGTTTTAGGAGCGCGCGATGCTCACCAGTTTCGTAGAGTTGCCGGAAGTTGGGGGGCACTGAGGAACTGGCGCCCCTGCTCGAAGAAAGTCGTAAGTTATGCGCAGTTTTGTTCAACACAGAGGATGGAATTTTGTCAAGTCACCGTGGGATTTTCACGTGGCGTTCGAGCATCTCTGGTCACGTTCCTCTGATTCATAACTTGGTTTCGAAGCATGTGTTGGTCTTTTTTACTCAGATATATAACTTCGAGTATCGATTTCAATGTAAAATATCCGTGTCATCGATGCATTGAGATCATCATCCAGATCCAAACCTCCGCCTCCGAAGGGAATAGTTGACGAATTTCTTGGAAGTGGTGCTTTGTGACAATGCGTGTGAATACGGTATTCGTTCTGTGTGTACCTGGATTTATTCATTGTCAAGAAATAATTGCAGGGAACTTTCATGTCGAATTCGTTATAGTCGTCTTTTCAAGGGTTCTTTCAAGCAGGTGATGCATAAGTAATAATTCGCGCGGCAGCCGTACTCATCTAGTCAATCATGGTTTGTTGGAAAGAGGTGAAGGACAGAATCGGCTTGCTCATCTTCCAGTATGAAGTCTGCACGTCAATTGCTGTGATGGATTTCAGGGAAAAGTGCATCGTCCGTATCCTTTTCATGNGATGGAGTCGTCGCGAAGTATATTAAGAAAGATGTGTCCCGCGACGTACCAAGTATGTGAGAACTGTTGGAAAACATTACGTCAGGAAGATTTTTTGGATTGGAAATGAAATTCATGAGGAATCTGCGAGAATGATTGCCGAATGCTTCCGTCTGACAACCTGATGTTGAATGGACAGTTGCCAGTTCCTCTTCTGCGGGACGAAATGAACTGAGGTGGTCTTTTGTTTCCAATATGGTTGAACGTGCGAAGTCAATATATTTCTGGGATTACAGGAATGCGTACCATCCGGAACAAGTTCTAATTTTTAGCAGTCATCTACAAAGGCCAGTGTTGTTGCCATCCAGCCGATTACATTTTTGTTAGTCTCCGACTTCGATGGTGATTTGTACCGCTGCAGTTCGAAACGATGTTAACGGAATCTTCCTCTGAGTGTGAACGGCGAAAATCATTGATTAGTACTTTGCTCTCTGTGTAATCACTCTAATCAGTAATAGAGAACGAACTTGGGAATATCGCAGAACTTTTTGCCCTCCGAGTCGCATTATGAACTACATCGTCGATCCTCTCGTGACCGGAGTGCCATCGCAGTTTTTCAGACGAACTTGGGTTGTCCGCAAGGCTTGGGTTTGACGCAATCGCTTGCCGTTGCACTTCGACAACGTCGATCATCTCCGGATGTTCATCCTTGCCTGCTGAATTTTTAGTCTCCCGTTTCGACATCTGTCGAACGCTTGAATAGTGAGAATCTTCCGCGTGAACTAATGAGTTTTCTGGAAAACTCCACTACTAAGCAAATCTGCGTGATCTTGAATATTTCCATAAAATATTTGAAAAGCTATGGACAGCACTTCAAAACTCATACATTAAATCGTTACAGAAATTGTCCTGTAAATCTAAGGAAGCAGAACTTATACGAGAAGGACACAACAACCCTTATAAATCAATAATTCAAGAACAAGTACCCACTGAAGAAATTATAGTGGGAATTGTGTTCAATAATCAGTCAATAAAAGCCCTAGAGATGGTCAAATGTGTTCAATTGATGTATTCACCTCATCTTTAGATATTGATGGAAACCATGAGCCACTAATTCTTCAAAACCAATCAATCAACCACTTGGTCCCTCTGGAAATGGAGATCCCACAACAGACCAATTAAAAAAAAAAAAAACAACCCTTATGTCCCACAGTCCAAACACCTGAAGCAGTATGGGAAAATGGTAGCCCAAAACTTTCTTTATCCTCACATAATCTCCAGCTTCTAACCTTTTTGATCCACTATGCACCAAAAAAGCCAGTTCTGTTGAGGGACATTCATCATAATTGTACTTGCTCAAATACACAGTGTAAAAAATATTAACTCTCATAGTTAATCAATCAAACTTACCTATTTGATTTAAGAACTATTTTGCACTCAACTAAAGGCCCAATACAGTTTAAAATTTGACCAAACAACCCAGCATGTTGATGAGCTTGCTTTAAATCAATACGAGCTTTAAAAGTCCCATCATTTAACCAAAATGGGACACTCTCCCGAACAGCCCCTCCCACTTTTACTTTTGTAGCCCTTCAAGTAGGGGGCAGGTAGGGGGTAAAAAGTAATTTTCAACGTTTCCTGAAAATGTGTCAAAAGTGTTCCTCATCTTGATTATAACTAATTTCGGGGCTGAGCATGCAAGAATAATAATAAAAACATGTGAAGCACAAAAAATTCACTTTGAAATTAATTTATTCTCAATTTCATCCCTATGCCTAATAAAGACAATTTTTCTGAAATTTGTTTGAAGATGACCCTAAGCTTTTGAACTTCCTCTAACACCAGGAAAACCTGAACAAATCAGTGGGTTCATAGGCTGGGTGATGATCATAGAGTGTTTTATTTTAGCTTTTACAAAAGATTCTGTTCTCCATTATGTAACAACTAGTCAGAATTCCACAATTTTGCCCTCAATTTTGTTCTCTTGATTTTTTAGTCTTGCAGCTTTGGTTCTCTGAATTAATTGAGATTTCCGTGGTGAAAAATTGATTTTTGCCTTTATCTTTTTGAAAGCTCTTCTGTGGACTTCTCTGTCAAGTTCCCCAGTAGATTGTGTCTGATTCATTTCTAAGTTTGGTTTATTCTCTTCAATGAAACTAATTCATTCTTTGTTTGGTCTTTCTCCTACACGAAAAACCTGTGTATTTCATTTTTAAGAAGTTTAAAGTACTGTATAGAGAACTCAGGCTTTTGTTACCCAGTCAAATTTTAACCCACCACTGTCTAAAATCTTGCAATTGGCCTGGTGACAATATTTAGAGCAGTTCAAATTTCACTGGAAGTATTCTAGCTGAACACTATAGTAGCGCCTATAAGAGGCTAAAAAATAATTGGTTTTATTTTGAATTGCTTGAACTATTTTTGGGAATATATTCGGGGAAAAGTGTTCATCGGTGGACTGACAACAATTATATTTTACATTGCAAAATCCAGACGCAAATGAATGATTATGCTCTTCATTGTACTGTATAGCTAGTTTTTGTATTATTTTTCCACCCGTGGCTATTTTTTACTTATTTTTTTTTAGCCAAGTTCAGGTGCAAGTCTGTGGACTTTTGAAGAAAACCCTTTCAGCGCACAGAGAAATTTGAAAGCTAAGTTTGTGTTTGGTTACTGGGTGGTGGAATGATCATCACAGTGGTTCTCTCTCTCCCCCGCCTTGTTTTTTCTCTTAGTTTCTATCATTATTGCCCCTTGTATTTTCCTCTATCTTTTGCTTGCACTCCTACGGCGGACTTGAGGCCGATGGCTCGTGGCCGCCAGACTCTTGGGTGACGAGCGGTTTTAGCGAACTTTATAATGGCTCTTACTTGTATTTTCGTTTGAACAACGCTCGATTTCAGGCGTGAAACAAGGTTTGTTTTTTCTTGATGGGATCTGCTAAATCCGTTGAAATAGTTGAACTTGGGCATTTTTTGCTTACTGCCACATGCGGATTCGGCGATTATATTCCACTTGCGAGGAAAGGAAGGAGGAGTGACTTGACTGTATTTATTTTGGCTCATGTGGGTTACAATTATTATCATTTTTTGGGGAGACTGCAGTAAAAATTTGTGGTGCGGCCTACACTCGATATGAGGCCTTTACTTGAGATATTCGCGTATAGGCCGCACTGCAGGTTCACATGCATGCAGTTTGTGCTACTGCTACCGTCCAACTTGTTCATGTCAAACGTCAAGGGACCATCTGATTTTCATGATCTAGGGTGAAAAAGTTTCCAGATTCCACAATCCTTGGTATACCATAAAATCTCCTTACAACAAAGTTTTCCGTACCAGTAGAATAGCTTCGTTATAGCAACAGAAAAAAAAGCGTTATGAAGTACCGCACTTCATTTAACTTTGTGGTTATTGGAAACGAACCTAAAAGATTACTTCGTTGCCAGCGATTATTCTTTGCTACGAAATTCTACTACTGTATTTTTAATAGAAAAGATTCTGTAGTTTGTTCAGCTGTACATCATAAGATAGTACAGTACTGTATTCTTATCCCTTATTGGTACTTTCCTGTTATCTCTGTACCTCATCCCTCAACCGCACTACCATCCAGACAAATCTTTAGGATGAGTTCATAATCACAACGACATACCGGAAACTGAATTTTATTTTTTGAGCCCCTGTGATCTGGGTGGAGAACTTGGGCTGCAACCGTCAAGTTTTGTGGCATCCTTAACTGAATTTATCTTGTATCTTCCTTGCCTAAGAGCATTCAAGCAAAACTTTGGCAAGATGAAAGTGAATCCGGCGGACTTGAAGCCCAAGCGGCCCGTGCACACGTTGAGCGGCGACGGAGAACCCGAAGAAGAAGCTGGCGCTGATTGTGAGTTATTGTGACTTGCGAGGGTTTTTGTCCCACCTCTGATCATTCGGAAGTAGGTGTGATTGGAAAAATGTAATCATGACGTAGTCCTTGATGTTCTAAGGTTCTGGGATTTTTTTTTCCGAATTAAAATAGCATATTTAAAAAAATTAATTTATACTTGATGATGAGTGAAAACTTCACGGTTGCAGCACAAGTTCTCCACCCAGATCACAGGGGGCTAAACAACATGTCGGACCAGCTATAAAATTTAATTATGTTCTTGTTTGACACATTATCTTTTCTCCCTTTTTGATCAAAGTTACAGCAGCGAAAAATGCAATATTGTAGCTAGCATGACAAATTTTCGTCCCAGTTGGTCGCGACCTCTAATATATTTATATTAGGTGTGGTTGTAAAGAAAAAATCGTGACAAAGCCCATGATGTTCTAAGGTTCCGGGGTTTTCCTGATTTAGAAAAAAATTCCAAAAAGTTAAATGACGTAGTGCTAGTGACTTTTGAAAGGTCAATGTACATAAAGGTGTCAAGAATTGGGTACGTGACTCCCTCGAGACTTTTACACAGACCGATTAATGTTTTAGCTAAAAATTAATATTGTTTCAAGCATTATACAACAGAAAACTTTGAATCCACTCGCGAATCATGTTGAGAGTAGCACATTTATTTCATTTTTTGGGTACCATATTTCCTTGCGCTGTTTTTTATGAAAAGGGAGGTCCACTATTATAACAAATGACATGAAAAATCTGTGGAAATCCGACTTTCTTGCGAGCAATTCATCATGGTAGACATTAATTTTCCAAGGTACAACTGAATTCAGATGATCCTATTCTCCATGGTAGTGACTAATGTTGGAGTATGATGCATCAAAGCTTGCATGAAAGGCGCAGTAGCTGCCAGATTAATCGCAGCTTCAGCAGTCTCATCTCACTTCTTTTGGTACATTTCACATAGTCCATTAGAAAGGTACAAAATATCACATCATGACAACTACGCATTGATGACATTGGCTCCAATTGCGTTGGACTTGGAAAAGGCGTAAAGTTACGCCTTTTCTTCGTTGTTGTTTTTTTGGACCGTCTTTGTTTAATCCCGGTCTCATTTCCCGAGTGCTCGATGAAACAACACGGTCATATTTAAATGAAACGTTGTTTAACGGGGTTTTCGAAAATAACGTAGTTTCTGACGAGTGTATCAGTCTGGAACAATTACAGTTCTCTCAATATCTGCATGAAACATGTGGTGCGAAGTCGCGGAATCAGACCGAGTTTCTCACACAGCAGACGTGGCTCGATCTTACGGGCTTTATACTGGACAGACTCAACGAGAAAAAAAAAACCCTTGGATTTGTATTGAACTGTACTATTTTTATTTTATTTGAAAATTTGAATGTCACCAAAAGTATTTTACTGTATATTACATCAAGTATAACTTCACTGCTGTATCCAAATCCAAGCGCATGAAAATTCAAGTACAGTACTGGGCAGTCAATATGTCTGCAAAACCTGTTCAAGACGATAAAAAAATTTGAATTAACATTCCGCGCAACGGAAAATGGCAGTTTTCCGGAATGTGTCGCCTGTTATACATTTTATTGAGAAAATTACTCGAATTCTACCGCATAGTTTAATTACTTCCAAAGATCTAGAAATGTTACCCTTTATTTCGGAGTACTGTACCGTAGAAATCGCATGCGGAGGAAAGATTATTCCGTAGTTCGAATTATAGAAGCTATGAAATTCAATCGCATATATTTTTGCTTCCAATAGCATGTAGCAAAGTTATTGTTTAGAAAAAATGGGAGCTAGAGAAATTCAGCATTGGATGTGAAAGGACTGGAATTATTTCTAGTTATTGATTGTTCTGTGAGCAACTCGTTACAAACCCAGGTTCTGTAGCGTGTTTACATGGCCAGGATGTATAGTAATGTATTTCGGAAAGGGAAATCTGTGTTCTATTTCGTGACGTTCAGAGTGAAAATGAAGAGTTGAATCAAAATGCAATACTGTATTCGGGATCTACAGTCAAGCTTCAAGAGGCCTGAAAACATGAATGAATAAATTCAAGGAGGTTTCAAGTCAGAGAAGCAAGCATTTTTCTTGGGGGTAAGTAACGGAAAAAATACAGGATTGGGTGATTTTCTGGGCCTTGAATTGCTTCTTAAATGAGTTGACAGGAGGCTGAACTTGGAGGCAAAGATTTAGTCCTTCTCTTCCTTTCAGAGCACATCGTAAGTAACGTATTTATTACTTTTCTCTTGTGTTGATGAAATAATAGCCAAAAAGTCATTGAAAATTTGAGTCGCCCAGGTTTAAGAGGGAAACCCGTTGAGCTAGGGAGGATTATAATTTTATTTTATTTTTCAAGGAACTCAGATCATGATTAGAAAATAAATCGAAATATGGAGATATTCCAGTTGTATGAATGTTCGAGTTAACAAGAAGGTTCAACTGTAAATCTCTAATACATTTACGATACGTCTGTAATTCTGAAAAGTGTCATTTGGCCATTATTTTGAGCTGTATTCATGAGTTAACCTTTGGATGATTTGAAACACCTTCAGTCGAATGCATCCGTGTTAGTTGAAGTTTTTCCAGTACCCGCCTGGATACCGTAAGAAACAATGTAATAGAAACCTCTCTAACTGGAAGGCTTTTTCTTGAAAACCTCAGCAACCCAAATATTCAATAGGCCTTTGTGTCTATTATTACTATGACACAGGAAATAAAAAATTGATGAATAAAGTAACTTGATGTGTTGCTTCGAAAGTAAGTGAAAGACTTCAGGCAAATGATTGTATTGGTCCCTAGAAATTCCACTTCCGGAGGTTTGACGACTGTACATTCTATATCGGTAAGGCTGCTGAAAACGCGGCTTAATGCACTACAGGACATTGTTTTTTTCTTCGTTTTTCGGCGGATTATTTATTTAAAATCTGTGCAAAACGATATGTGTTATTTTTTTCTTTCAGCGGAAGAGGAAGAGCCGGCTGTGGTTGATCCGAGGTCCAACAATGAAGAGGAAGAAAGTGACGACACCGGCGCCACGACGCAAAGCAGGGCATCTCGGGACAAGATGGCAGCTCAAGATGCAGAAGAAGCCACGGATGACGAGGAAGATTAGTGAGACACATCCGCATTTCGGTTTCAGAAGATAAACCGTACTGTATAGAGAATATGTGCAGATTTAATGGCGGGTGTTTTTTTTTCTTCCTTTTTTTTTCCTTTTTCTCTCTCAAGCTACCCCGAGATTCATTTGGCCTCCGTGAGCTGTGGGAACAAGAGAGCAACTGGGAACATTGTGACAATGTTGCGAACCATTGCGACCTTCCTGGAATCTGACGAGTATTTCATCTCTGTGCATGTTGTTTGCGACAACGAACATTTGGAAGGCATCCGGCGAGAGGTGAGATGCATCTTCATGTTGGGATTCATTAGGTTCAGCATCACGTGGAATTGAAGGTCCACTGCTGAACTTCAATTATGCGTGCTAATTGCCTTTAGACCTCGGCCAAACGGAGGATCAAACATCGAGAATAAATGACACGGTATTGAAACAAGTAAATCGAAAAAAATTTCAGTAGAACTCCGAAAGTCTGGGCTGTGATTAACTGAGCATTGGAAATGAAGCTATTGGTTACTCAAATAAATAAAAGACATGAAATTGTAATTGGTGATATTCTGGGCCTTGAATTGCTCTTTAAGTGAGTTGACAAAGTAATGCTTGGTTTCATTTGGCCAATTACTCTTTCACTTATATCCAAAACACATTATTCCTTGTGTCAATGAAATCATAGCCTAAATTCTTTCAAGGGAAAACCCTTGAGTTTGGGAGGTTTTCAAGATTTCAACGCATTACAGTAATTGTTTCGAAGGGCATTCAAAGAGTGACTTGCAAAAAAATTTGACACAGGGAGGTGTTGGACTTGTAGAGGTTTGAGTTATCAAGGTTCAACTTTATATATACAGTACTCTCATCGCTTCCTTCAAATATAGAGTAATGGTGAACTTCTTGACGCATCAAAAAATGGTATATGTACTTGATGAATCATTTGAGATAAGCAAGTATTTCGTAGCGACATCTATCTGTGAAAAGTCATGTTTGAGCCGCGATGGACAGTAATATGATGTACAGTACAGCGGTAAAATTGACATTTATTTCTGTTTTTAAATTCGATACGAAAAGATCAATTCAAAGCTCAATCTTTTGAGGTTTTGTTCAAGAGTGAAGGACACTTCTTTTTGTTTTGGAAAAGTTGAGCATCATTGTCATTGCTGATGAATTTGTAAACATTTCAAGTTTGATTTCACATGAACTACCCAGGTGGCATCGTGGACAGCAGAAATCCTCAAGCGCTTGCATGTTAGCCTCTACTCGACAACGATACCAAAGAACATGACGACCCAGCTTTTCAACAAGATGAACAGCGCCGAGGCCGGGTTTGAGTGTGCTTTCCAAAAACTGTTCTTGAGTGTAAGTATACTGTACTGTACTGTATCTTTGAAGTCATATCTCGAATATCAAGGTGGACATTCAGCAGCCATGGATGTAATTACAGTGCTAGAACGTATATTTACTGCCTCAGTTGAAAGACTTGACCTGCAAATCCCATTTCGTGAAAATTC